TATAAGGGGTAGCTGTAAATATTTCTCCATCGTTTGGGTATCTACATCACTACAAAAACTGGAATCAGTATCAGAGCTGTTGGCGATTTCCTCAAAGCATTGCCAAATATCCAGGGCTCGAATCGTCACATGCGATATCGTATTACTCGTCACGTAAAAAGACATTTTTCGGATTATTACATACGTGAACGTACTCTTTACCCCATTCAGCTTATACGACTGACGTTATCACGTAATTTTCTTTCGTATGGTTTTGGATCCGTGAACGGATGTTGCGATTCGAGCCCTGGTCTCGCTCTTCAATAGAAGCGAGAGTGAAGTTCACCATCGACCCAGATTTATTGATGTCAGAAAAGAAAACCAGTTTTGAAACGTGTGTCACAAAATATTGCAACAATGAAGCCTTACGGGGCGATTCGGGAATTTCGGTTCCGGCATTCAGTTATCCGGCAAAATCTCTATCCGGCACATCCCTAGTTTCATATTTAGAGCGTATCGAGGGCTTATATTCAATATCTTCTAACTGCAATTTTAACAAAAACTACTTTATGATGTTAGAACCCATCTGGGTCTAACCTCTCATCTGTGATGTTAATTCTTACTTTGCAATTTAATAGTACATTCTTGGCTGACTTCCAAAACGTATCAATACAATGTTTGGAAACTGTTATACTGCGGTATTCAAACTGTTTGTATATGCAGAGTTGCGACACATTGCAACCATATACATTGCATATTTTAAATATTCAATATAGCAATGAACATTTTTTCTAAATTTTCCATTTCTAAAACACCAATGCTAACCAATAACAAACGAAGCATCAACTTTGTTTCTGATGCGCTGATTGCTCCAGCGATGCGGTTCGATAACTTTTCGGCTGCGTTTTGGAACAGTATACATTGTCAATATTTTGTAGTTCGACGTTATGGAACCTTATACTTTGTACGTATGCAAAGCAATTGACGTTTTGGAAGTCAGCCCTTCTGTCAAGCGTTGCACAAGGTCAGCATTAATATCACCGATGACAGTTCGGTGGATTTTTATATCAGAAACTCATTTTTGTGAAAAGTGCAGATAGAGGGTATTGTATATAAGCCCTCGGTGTATTACTTAAATGGAAAAAAATAGCTCCACAAAATATTTAGCTGTTAGGTGGTACGGGGTAGATGTTTTTTTATTAAGCACTCATATAGCTTGTCTTTAAAAAATGTGTTTTTTTTTTTTATTACTTATTATACATAAGAATAAGTGCATATAAATTCTACCCCAAATCTTATCTGTTCAAATTATTAAATGCAAACTTAACTACACGAGAACTACCGCGTTATCAGCTTTCGAAGCATAGGTTACAAGGTTTTATAGAAAGTATTGTGCGAAAGACTGAAGCCCACCGTCAACGAACTGATTGGACCTTATCAGGTATTAACAATACGTCTAATCTTGGAAAAGACCCGCGAGAATAGGATCGACACGCACCATCTATTTTTCGATTTCAAAGCCGCTTTCGACAGCACGAAAAGAAGTTGTCTTTATGCCGCGATGTCTGAATTTGGTAACCCCGCGAAACTAATACGGCTGTGTAAAATGACGTTGAGTAATACCATCAGCTCTGTCAGAATTGGGAAGGACCTCTCCGAGCCGTTTGATACCAAACGTCCTAAAGTCCTCTCTCATCGTAAAAAGATCACACTCTATTAGTCACTAATCATGACTGTGTTGGTGTATGGCGCGGAGGCATGGACAATGAAAACATCTGATGAAGCGGCTCTTGGAGTTTTCGCGAGAAATATTCTGCGAAAGATTTGCGGACTTTTACGCGTTGGCGATGGGGAATACCGTAGACGATTTAACGATGAGCTGTATGAGCTTTACAACGATATAGACGTAGTGCAGTGAATTAAAATTCATTGGCTCTGCTGGCTAGGTCATGTCTTACGAAGGACAGAAATGCTCCTGCTCTGAAAGTATTCAATGCGGGCCGCGATGCTGGTAACAAAGGAAGAGGAAGGCCTCCTCTGTGTAGGAAAGACCAGGTGGAGAAGGACTTGGTTTCACTTGGCATTTCCAATTGGCATCAGTTGGCACAGAAGAAAAATGACTGGCGTGCTGTTTTTGATTCGGCCAAAATCGCCTAGGCGGTTACAGCGCCAATAAAGAAAAATAAGAAGATGCCATGGTATTAAGCTATAGAGAAGTACATGTTTTCAATAATACTAATAATGGATTGGCGCTTACACATATGTTAGTGTTTGGCCGAGCTTCTCCTCCGATTTGTGGCGTGCGTCTTGATGTTGTCACACAAAGCGGAGGGACCTACAGTCTTACGCCGACTCCGAATGGCGATTGTATTTTTATGAGAAGCTGTTGTTCATGGCAGAAGTACACTCGGAGGTTTGCCATTGCATGCCGAGGGTCGACCGCTGTTAAGAAAAGACCTTTTTTCTATATTTTTTGCGTTGTTGCTTTGACCAGGGTTTGAACCCGGGCGTAGCGGAGTGGAAGCGCGCACTGCTCACCACTACACTACAGCGGCCGACACACGTTTTCAATACTTCTTTGAAATTCAAAAACTGTTTCGCCATCGATTGCATAGCCATGCTTTCATCTGATTTAACCCATTTCCTTTTGACTTTACATAAAGAACTTTTAATAAATTTCTTGAAATACTGACGTCTGAGTTATTTTTGCACTAAATTACACACGAGAATTTCGGAGATATCAAAGTTTTATTGGAATTGAAATTGAGGGCGGTGTTAAATTCACGACTGAATCAGTCCATTCACAAGAAAACTACGTGCATATATGTACATAAATACACTTACGCATATATTATAAAATAAACAAGATAAAGATTGACAAAAGTGACTGGACAGAAACATGGAAGTAGGTGGATGACTTGGTGATACGGTGAGCTGTGCGGTGTGATCTTGGAAGCGTGTGGCGTGGTTTTGTAGTGTCGTCCGTCGATCCGTCTTATCACTCTCCTTTTGCTTTGCGCTCTTATCTGCATACAACTGTGTGCTTGTAAGTTCGTGTGTTTGCGTTCAGTGTCGGCATTTTTACGAGTTTTAGTTTTTTGAATTTTGTTTCTGTGACTCACTTTCGTAATAAAAACCAAACAATTATCAACGCAAATGGGTTTTACGGCGCAGTAAACCAAATAAAAATCCCCAACAAATCCCAAAGCAAAAATAACAATACATTATGTATGTATGTCTGCGTGTGCGTATCTATGCATGTACATACCTATACCCTTGTGGTCAGCTGATTAAGTTAAGTGACATTTTTACAAATTTTGGCAATTTTGTTTTTAAATTTTAGGTGTGCAGCTTAATAGCTCATTAAATTTTAGTAGGTTAAAGTGCAAATTTCAAGACGCTGAAAAATCGCGTCCATATAAAAGAAACTGTCGAGCAACGCCGTCAGCCAAAAAAATTATAAAAAAATAAAACCGATTTTCTGGCGTCTTGATATTTGCATTTTAGCCTAATAAAATTGAATGGGCTATAAAACTGCATACCTAAAATTTTTCTAAAAATTCTAAATAAAAAGTTTAACATTTTTTGGTGCAATTGTTAAAGTTGTAGAACTTTTGTACGAAATTTGAAATTCGAATTTGTGTGGTGTTATTTATGAAGGTTATACGCTAGATTTTTTTTAAATAAAATCATAAGCATTAAATAAGCTCAAGACAAATAGGCAAAACTGGTCAAAATGTCACTTAACTTAATCAGCTGACCACAAGTGTATGCGTTTTTCTTGACAAGTTGCATTGAACTTGTTGTTGGCATCATCATGCCAGGTACGCGTGCCCCACACTCATGACTGCCACCAATACTAACACCAAATTGGGATTCCGTTGTTGCTATAGCTTTTCATTTATCGCTATTCGTTTGGTATGCTTATTTCTCTCCCTATCTTTTTCTCGCTCTCTGATCAATTCAAGAAATTCGCATACATTCGTAGATAAGTATGTACCCTGCAGCAATTCAGACTCACCCTAGGTTAGCTCTCAGATAGTCCCTATTGTTACCAGCACTAGTCCCTCATAATTCCCCTGCCAATGGTTTCAACTGCCATTTTTAGCATTGGCGTGTAATTGGAGAAGGACCGGTCCAATCAACACTGACCGTAAGATAGTCCTGGACTAGCCCAATTTTGGAGATTTTTTTCGTTGGAGTAAGACTGCGTTCTGCACTTCACAGATGCTTTTTCATATTTCGGAAACACAAAAAAAAATATATATCATTTTATAACCATGTTGCCTCTGACGCCATTTGAACCCGGACCCTCCTGAAAGCTAACAAATAGTGGCGAGAATCTCTGCGCACTGAGCTACAGCCACGCATGTAAATGTGTGTTCAAATGTTCACTTTGAATCAAGGCCCAGACCAAGCGATTGGGACATTTACAGGGTGGTGTTCTTTAATTTGTTTTATTGAATTACAAGACAACACCACCCTGTCACTGCCAAACTGTACTTTTCGTCTATCTCTAGACCGATTCCTTGGGGACTGGTCGAAAGCTGACATTTTCGAAGCAAGAAAATGTCCAATTCTGACCAGTCAAATTTTAACCAGTGAAGTGCTGGTCCTTTACGGAAAATTGGCCGCCTGCAGGGTATGTACTACGCATGTAGTGGGGCTAGCGGTGAGCTGGCAGATCACTCATACCACCCGTACGCCGATGGCGCTTACTACTATACTCACTTCTAGCCAGACGTTGTCAACGACGCTTTCCGCTTCTGTGCGCGCCTTCCGTTTCCTAAACTCGGTATATGTAGCTGGCATTGTGACTTAAATACTTATACATATGTACGTATTTGAAAACTTGTATGCACGCACATGTACATGCACATGCACACATGCATATCATCGGGTCGGTTTACTGTAAAAGCCATCCAACAACCGTCGGTTTTGTACATACATATGTACATATATAGTTTGTAGCTAGCGGTATTGTGCGCGCAAAATCTCATAAAAGTCGGCCGCACATACCATATGATTTCAGTCTTTTGAGTTGAGTCGTGGCTGTCACTTCGTAGCATAGGCAAATATTCGTAATTTGGTAAATAACAAAACTGCTACAGATGAAAAACGGAAGCAACCAAGAATCAAATAAAGAAAAAAAATACAAGTAACTAAAGGCAAAGTGTGCTGGAAAAGTTGCGAAACTGTTCAGCAGAAAACCAAGTGTTCACTCAATACAATTAAAAAATTGAAGAAAAAAGTTTAGCATTTTCTTTAAATCGCTGACTTGATTGTGCCGTTGATGAAAATATCAATGCAATAAGCGTGAAAAGTGTGTGCGAAATTGCATCAGCCAAAAAGTTGAAAGAAGCGAACAGTTAAAAAACTCGGTGCTAAAGTTTTAACCGGCAGAGCTGGAAAATTATTTACAAAGTGCAAACTTTTATTTAGATTATTCTTCAAACGCAATAAATAACTAAGTAAGTACTGCTGGGTACAAAGTTCGTTATTTATGTACTTAGGAATTTGAAGTTACTGCTATAACAGCCTCAATTCTTGAAGAGATTTTTTTCGCAGAGTATGGGCTGTTTTTAGATGAAGGTGTATAATGGAACAAAAAACTAAGATATTTTTATGAAAATTCTTTTTCATATTGCCAGGTTTAAGATTTTATTAAAAGGCATATCTGAGTCAAATAAAAAGAAATCATTTACTATTTTCATCCATTGCCATCTTTCTTTTCCGAACATATGCATATTCATTGAGTTGCGAGAATGGAATTAAGCCTTTATTCAAATTTCTAAAACGTAAATTAATCAATTTTAAATTTCAAAAGTTAATATCACTTCTTAGAAGAGAATTAGTTATTTCGAGACGCACTTTTCAAAAGCATAAAAAAATTGACTAAATGTAACTTGAAGACTCCCGTTTTCACTACCGGTTGGGTGTAACGATTTCAAAACAAGGTGCATTAAGCTATATAATGTTAAGCAACAAAAAAAAAACAATACATAAACAGTTCACGACTTCAATGTAGTGCCATGTCTCAAATCAAATGTGCCCTCCCGTTTCCATTAAAACTAACCTCCTGCGTGCAGTATCAATTTAAATGCAAACTCAAGGAAACAAGCGAAATGCGGCTCTAGCTTGTGCGATCCGGTTTTAAATTAGATATACATACATACATACAAATTCGCAGCAATTTCTTGAATGCTATTTTTTCAATTAAAATACATGTACCCCTTCATAAAGCTTCTTAAAAATGTATATGTATATGCACATTCTGCAAAACCGCGTAACTGACATTGGCTGCCAAAAATTGGATTTGCTCACACAAGCTCAATCCTTATCCATTCGTCCTGAAATAGACTAGGCAGATATGCAATTGCTTTATAGAAAAGAGAACCATTTTTAAATATGAGTGTTTTTACGCTCTAGAAAATAATTTCTAGAACTTCACATACGCGGTTTTGCATTTTGTTGATACGCGGTTTTGCACTTTAAACGACGATATGTATATGTGTATGTACAGTAATTTTAAAACCCAATATAACTTATGTCGGCCGCTGTGGTGTAGTGGTAAGCAGTGCGCGCTTTCACTCAGCAGCACCTGGGTTCAAGCCCTGGTCAAAGCAACATCCCAAAAAATATAGAAAAAGGTTTTTTCTTAACAGCGGTCGTCCCTCGGCAGACAATGGCAAACCTCCGAGTGTATTTCTGCCATGAAAACAGCTTCTCATTAAAATACCATCGCCGTTCGGAGTCGGCGTAAAACTGTAGGTCCCTCCGCTTTGTGTGAAAACATCCAGGCGCACGCCACAAGTCGGAGGAGAAGTTCGACCAAATACTAACATATGTGTAAGCGCCAATCTATTATTATTATTAATATAACTTATGTATTATATACATATGTACGTGCTCTTGGAGTTGATGGTTTTAATGAAAGAATGCTCGTTGCATTGCTATTCGCTTTGATTATTGTACATACTCTCCATTACTATTTTACTATTAATTCAATTATTTTTCAATGTACATTTATATAAAGGAATCGGTGATAGTACAGACATGGGAGTGTGTACATACATACATATGTATATATGTACATTTGTTTGGTAACTGATGTCAGCCGTTACGGCAGAAGCTGTTCCTACTCCTGGGCCAATTAAAACGATATTGCGCTTGCAAACATTTCATAAGCTCAACAGCGTGACCAACAATATTACTGCCCACTCGTCCATCGGTCTCTGGTGCTGTTGCAGATTTTAGCCAATATACCTTTTTTAGAACTTACCACACGCTTTTTTAAAGTCAGTCAAATGCGTTTCGCTACTTGCTGCAGGCAACGTGAACATTTTTTGTAGCAAACCAGCTTTAAGACTCCAAGGTTATACCAACTCTTTTTCTTCTGACCAGCATTTATTCGGTGTGTGATATTTTGAATACATGTTCAATGTATTTTCCAAAACTACTCCTTAGATTAATAGTAATTTCGGAGATTTATTTTTTATGCGCCTTTTATTTTTATTCTCGTATGCAATTTATTGCTGAGGCAAACGATACTTTGCTGCACTAAGTACGACGTTGACGGTGAAGACGACGACGACATTGACGTCAACGGCCTAAACAAATATTAAAAAATAAAAAACAAGAAGAAAAACAAAACAAGTGATGAGCGTGGAAAGCAAGTGTGGCAGTGCTGCTGCCATCACAACATCCAGCTGAGCAAATTTTACGTTACTCCATCAACAAAGCAGCAAATCATATTGATACATACATACGTTGCAGATATCTGTGCTTCCCTTAATATTTGTATTAAACACTGACTAAAGCTAATTAGCGTTGGCCTAATCAAACTGTACAATTTTATATTCAGCTAAGTACGTAGTTATTTGTATGTGATTTAAAAAACTTCACATTCCACATTAGTCTGATGCCAGCTAGTCGCTGGGAAAATTAGCGAAGGGGACTTAAAAAAAAAATAAATCATTATAAAAACATCAACCATTTCAAATGAAAATCAGTTTTACGAAAGTGTTAACCGCTTTTTACCAGTTTTTATATCGTGTACCCGGCTACGGCGAATAAGTAACTAACATATCTACTGTTTGCTTGGGACTGCTATAGTAAGCTTTACGTGTATGGATATACTAGATATGTAGATACATATGTATATTTGGGTGAATCACCAAAAAAAAGGTGCTTTTTCCAAGTTTTACTCAAGTGAATTTCAAAATTTGTAAAACTTTGTATGTCTTTCACCTTAATTCTTGGCTTTACGTTAATCCCGAGCTGTATTTAAAATGTTTCTTATGTAAGCGAAAAAATTTACTGAATGTAATTGGCCCATCTCTACTCAAAAGTTAACTGTAGTAAATAGGTTCATTAATATTATTATTATTATTATTGACTTATGGAGTTGTTGTCTGGGTTTACATTAAGAGAGTTTTCGTACAGAATCATTTATTTCCATGTTACAGAAGTACGTGCATACTTATGTATTTGTATTTTGTACGAAAATTTTACCACTCAAAAGACATCAAATATTATTCAATCTTTCAGGGCCAGATGAAAAATTTTTCCTAAAGCATAACTCACTAATTAGGAAACTTTGAGGAGTTTTATTGTGTTTTTCATTCTAAAGCATTGCCTTTTTTCGATTTGGCTAATTTTATTCTTTTATTTAAAAAACAAAAATATCTGTTTAACAGAAAAACAAAATTGTTGGTATCGAAATAAAAAAACATTATCAACAGAATTTTAGAAAATTAAAACTTCCGAGGTTGATTACTGTATAAATTGCGCTTCTAGAAACATTTTAAACGCTTGCGAGCTGTAAAATAATATTGCGATTTGCCTAGATATTTGGTTGGCTATCATAGCAATATACATATAATAATAGATTCGCGCTTACACAATACATTCTTTCAACGTACTTAACGCAAAAACAGCCCAAAAATCATTCCCGTACTCAAAGTATGGGTAATAGAAAGCGAAAATTGGAGCTTATTGGATCGTTGGTATCTTCTTCTCCCTGCCCGAAACAGCCTGTTAAAAATGGATAAAATATCAAAGTGCATTTCACCTGTTTTGCGTTACTTTGTGCCTTTAAAGAATAGTGAATGGCCTGTTGATGCATTTTCAATTATTTTACATATATTTATATACTATCTAATACAATCAAAATTTTGAAACCAAAATCCAATTTCAAAAAACTACGTGAATCAAGTGTTTCTCAAATTCTGGACACAAAATGTGTTTTTTTTACGTTCCCGTATTTTTGGACATTTTACAATTTTTGAAATGGAAATGGATGTCACACAAAGGGGACGAACAGTTTTACGCCGATTCCGAACGGAAATTGCATTCTGTTGAAATAACACAAACGGCAATAACGCAAAATTTGCTATATTTCACTTTTAAATGGGAAATAATACCAAAATCTCAGTTTTGCTTTATTTCCAACAAAGGTTGGAAATAAAACAAATTTTGCCTTATTTTCCATTGCTTATTTATACTATTTGTAAAAAAAGTTTACTTACAGAAAGAAATCAACTTTCTATTCCAAAAATACAAAAAAACAATAATACAGTGAAGCCTTTTTCCATACAAAACAAGTTATTTAATAGCAGCTTTTGGAAAGCTCGCCCGACCCAGCAGCACAACCGCTGATTACTGTGCCTTGCACAGGATGAATCAATGCTTCGAGAAACGAACCAATTTACTAAGAAAGAAAGTTGCAACAATTTTCATTTTTTTCAATTTAAATTTTTTATTTTTTTTTGTATATCATATTGCACGCTTTGATGTAGAAGAAAAAAATCAGAACAGTTTTTGACACTTTCGATACCAGAAGCAACAACAAAATACAGGCAAATGCTGTTTTTGCTCTAATGCTACTACCTGTTTGATATGCCTTGAATACAACAAAAAATATTTTTACTTATGAAAAGTCTAACAAAATATAGTCGTCTATAATAACTGCTCGGCATATTGGACATAGCGCTTTTGTATGAATTTAATCTGCATGTTTTTTAATATGTTGAAAACATTTCTGGAAAACCTTAAAATGTTTGCATGGAACGATGGCGCAATAAACAGGTGAAGTAATAAAACGGCTTTCTCGCTTTATTTTCTGACATTCGTCTGCCCTATAGCCACATTTTATAGGCAAATTTTCAAATAAGACAGTGGCACCTGGTAAATTCCATTATCGGTGGGATCCATGCAATAACACCATACACAATAATTCCCATTACTTGGACATAAAAAAGCAGTTTCAGAAGTGAACTAGTGTCGTTTTATTATTTTTCTTTCTTCTAAAAAGTTAAAATGCCACCAGTGCATAATTGCGAAAGGTGGGGAGGGGGGTGCGGGACGCGAGCGCGACGTCGAACGCGGACCGCCGCAACGCTGGGCACTTTCAAAATTGTATACTTACAAATCCGTCTATTTAACTTGTTCATGTACTATTTTTTGTCAA